ACGTTCATTATTCTGCCACGAAGTGCTGGAAGAGGGACAGTGTGCCAGGCGTGCGTGCTAACAATAGTGATAGTCGGCGTACAAGAGCAGTACACGCTGGAGACACACACGGTAGGTTCCATTCCAGGCGCGATTTTGGTGTGAGATTCTAAGCCTATAACATGAGACTATTACGGCAAAATAGGCAGCGGAAATTTCATAAATGAGGTTAAAAATTCCAGAGATGCCAGTAAGAAACATTGTGATGCTAGGCAATATAACTAACAAGGGAAAAAGCAACGTCGTCAGACTCAAGCAAATGTTATATGCAATCTCAGTTTAGAAACAGTAATACTCGTATAAATTACGATTTCGAACTAACAAAACCAAAACTGCTTGTTCTCGTGAAGAAAGGCCGTCCAAAACCAGTGTATTCAACTGACAAACTCTTACAAGACAGTGCGTTCATTCTCCTAAACCTGTCTCTGCACCAGCCTGGTAAATTGCTGCTGGCTGTCGCCAGCACATTCTATCCTGGTTTCGGGTCCCATCGGAACCCATGGCCATATTTTTTTTTATTTTCCAGACTTTTGCGTGTTTTGAAATTGTTCTTCCTCTTCGATCAGAGGAGGAGTTTGGCTACTACTGGTCACTCCCTCTCTACTGGGGTACCTCTGCACCAACGGATTTAAATCCCATTAAACTGAGTTGCAATAAGGCAAAGAGTGTGAGAAAGAAACACATCCAGTGTTCCACTGCCTCTGCTAAAGACGATGGCATCACATGCTAAAGCACAATCACTAGAAATGACTCTGCAGGAATCTTCGGCCATGCCAGAAAACGTGCTGAAAATTACTGGAACTCAGATGGCTTGATAGAGAAATAAATAGAACGAATAGGAATTAGGAATGGTGTTGATACCGGTCCTCCGGCGAAGAACCCGTCATGCATCAGCAACACCGGCAACCACAGGAATATTTCGACGCATCGACGCCTGTTTGACGCAGAGAAACTTGTGGGTGTCACAGAATGCAGCTGACTGCTGTGGTCCCATGTGTGCTGGTCAACGTAAACTCTCGCCGAAAAGTGTTCTTCCCGCCTACATTAGGCTCTCTTTTGGTATTACGAAGAAGGTATATGGGTCTTAGTGTGGTAACCATGCAAATGTTGAAAAATACCTTATTTCTCTCCGCGGAACAAAACAATTCTGCTGTCAAAGTTATAACCGAACTTTCCTTCGCTTTATAATATGGAGGTGTGAACCAATCTTGCGGATGACTGTTACGGAATATGTTAATGCAGCAGTAATATTACAGGCATGTTCAGGAAATGCGTGTTTCAAATGTCGGCTAAGCTAAAGACAAACCAGGCTGGAGTACTTTGTCATTTTCCTGTCACTCTATCGCATACAAATTTCAGGGTATTACCTTGATCGCCTCCTTCTTAATCCTTGCCTATTTACCGTTTTCACTTCATCATCATCAGTAATCTGTCAAGACGACAGGTCCACAGTCTCTTCCAAAACAATTCCTCCATTTAATGCGATCTAGAGCTTTCTCCTTCAAATGACAGTATCCTCTTCTGTCCCCAAGGTCATCCAGCATCTTCTTACGTCTTCTTCCTCGTCTTCTTGTCACTTCTATCCGCCCCTCTATCTTTCCTTCGATAACTTCTTTTAGAAGGCAGTTTCTGCGTAAAACATGACCAAATTCGACACTAATGAGTAATCTTCAAATCAATCACAAGTCAGTTCAGATGGGTGTTAAGTTCTGCTTACATTGAAATTACTTCAGATGTTACATAACTGAGTCAGCTACGAACACAGCAGTCAGCCCTGCAACAGTATGTACGAGAAGTTAGTTCATCGCCTTGAAACAGCCAAAGAATGGAAACGCTCCACTGATACAATCGGTTACATATTTCAGTGTCTGTGTAGACTGCTGTTAAATTGTAAGTCAAACAACTACTATCGTTTATCTGTTAGAACATACTTTGAATAGGTCTACTATCCAGAAACAATGCTTCGGACAAATGCATGTATCTACCGCCCACAAGCTTATCTTATATCGCGACCAGTCTACATTCTTGACCCTAATTCTTGTTCGACAGAAATTACATAGTGACATTTCTCAGAATCGAACAACCAGTCTTGCGTGCAAGAGCGGCACATCACAATATTGTTTCGAGTTCGTGTTGCTACAGTGATCTACTGATAATGCGGTTCGTTAACAAGACACGGAACACGGTACGCCATTACGATTGTCCTTAGTCACGGTACACTGAAAAAAAAACTGCGTCTGAAGGCATATGTACACGATGCATCTTAAGCCCTGTAGCCCTGAAACACAAGTGGATAGAGGAGGGAAAACTTTTATTCCACTGGCTGTTTACTTTTTTCTATAATATGCCATTTTGATACCAATTGTGCAGCTACTGAAGAACTTCCCATCGTTTTATGGAACCCGAAGGTTCATTACCGTGTTCACAAAAGCCCTCCACTGGTCCCTATCCTGTGCCAGATAAATCCAATCCATACCATCCCACCCTATCTATCTAAGATCCAGTTTAATATTGTTCACCCACCTACGCCTTGGTCTTCCCACTATGCACACAAATATACATAATTCCAAAACATGCTTCAGGGAACTGCATTGCACCGACTCAATGAAATCCGATCGCTCTGTTTGGTCTTACATCGAACGGAGATCAATAAGTTTTCCGGACATTTTGAAATCAGATATTGCACGTCTGAGCAGCTGAAGTGACGTCTACTGTCGCGTCAACATCCGGTGAATAGTAAACACAATTGTTGAATAATTTGGAAAACTGAGTTTCAACTTCTTTCCAATTATTAATTATCTGCTTTTGTTAAAGCCAGCTCCTACGAACTTTATCTTGTGAGGTAAAGGTATCCCTGTAACAGGACGTGGAGGCCCATAGGGTTGTGAGACGTCGAATTTCCCATATTTTCTAGACAATAGGCTCATAGATGGAGGTGAGGTTGTCAGCCCTACGCGCCAGCTGCCCTTTACCCCCAGGAATATTCCTGATACTCATTTCTGTTAGAGGCTGAGTCGACCCCAGGGCCATAGTGCGGCTGGAAGGATTAGGTAAATAGACAAAAATCCATCTCATCGGGATTCGATCCGCAACCTTCCGGCTTGTAGCATAGTGCCTCAACCACCTACGCTACGGCGTGCCCTCACTATATCTTGTAACCTGTGTAACAAAGTTGCTGTGACGCAATAAATGAACAGTTTTGTTTTTCCTTTCAAAATCGCGCATACTTAATCATTAAGTAAGATATGACAGAACTCCCATGTTAGGGGGGTCCCTTGTTACCACGGCATGGCGCGTCCTGAGGTTGCGGATGGAGGAGACGGCCTCCAGGTTTGGAGGGCAGCTGAGAATATATTGAATAAGCAGTCACGGACAGCCGACACGGGGTGGTCCTCCAGCTTGGGGGTTGGGAGTGAGGCTAACAAGTCCTCACCGTAAAAACATAATCATGTTTCGAAAATGAAAACAAAGCCTCGGACCTGGACGGATCCTCTGGATACACGACCTAAGCTAAAGAAAATGGACATGAGATTCGGTACGTGGAACGTCAGAAGTAGGTGGGTTGACAATATTAAAATGGATCTTAGAGAGATAGAATGGGATGGTATTGATGGGACTGGTCTGGCTCAGGACAGGGACCAGTGGAGGGCTCTTGTGAACACGGTAATGAACTTCCATAGAATATGGGGAAATTCTAGAGTAGCTGCAAAATTGGCGGTTCCTCAAGAAGGGCTCAAATCCACGAGTAAGTAAGTAATTACAAAGGCCGCGCCATAGCTCAAGCGGTTAGTCGCTGGGTTCCCACCGCGGCGGCCCGGGTTCGATCCCGGGTCTGGTCAAGTGGGATTTGTGGTGGACAAAGTGGCTCTGGGGCAGGTTTTCTCCGAGTACTTGGGTTTCCCCTGCCAATCTTCATTTGAGCAATTGCTCCACAATCACCCTCACCTATCATCTGGGGCCGGTACATTAGGTCAGAAGTGGCCGCAGTACAAGGGGCTTAGTCCCACCCCACTAGCATTAAAAGAATGTATTGACAAAACTCACTGCCACGCCTTGCTCTAAAGTAGCTGTTCTGGTGCATATATATCTCTCTCTTTTTTTTTTCCAATAACTAAGTCACTAATGACAATGAATCCATGCAGTCTTTTTTTCACCCTTTCTAAAGTAATTTTTCCAATCGTTGAGATTCGATCTCAGTTCATTCAATGAACCAATATGTGACAAAAGTCTTTTTTCATGAACGTCTTCTTATATAACCTATTTCTATGAACATGATTCTTCATTTTCGCGTATCTTCTCTTTTCTTTTAAGAACTAGGCAATAAGCTGTATACATGGAATAAATGTAATTTGTCATTGCAGACCAACCAACATCTTACCACTGACCACTGTACTAGAACCGAGCTGAACAGGGAAACTGACGGTGTTTTCCTCCAAACCAACGAAGTCAGGGCGCAGATGGCAGAGTTTCCGAAATTCGCAGCCATAAACTTCCGTAACTGATAACGCAGATTAACAGGCACCGCTTAAGATATCAGTCATGAACAGCTCAGGCATGAAGCAAGCAACTCTTTGTCGGACCTACTCCATGTATTCCTTGTACTTGTGACATGTTTTATGAGGAAAAACGTATCAACAAAACGAAACAAACATAAGTCGTAAAGGAATAAAGAGGCAATTTTTCCTTGTTTATGTTTTCATAACCAGCGTCAATTTAACCACGTTTCACGTGAATCGATTAAAGTATGTTCAATTGTTAAGAACAAAACAGGGCTTTGTATTGGTGTGGGGTGCAAATTGTAGAGTGGGGGAAGCATAGTAAATCATTATACTGGCTGAGGAAAGAAAGTTCGGTATAATTGAAAGTTGGTATGGCGGTAGTAGGGATAAGATCTGGTTGGTGGTGGGGATATGAGATGCTGCTGAGTATAGCTGTAGCCTGGATCGATGTAGTGTCAGTAAGCGAGTGAGCCTTTGTAATGAAAGAAGGTGCTTCTATGACTTGCTGTTAGTCGTTCTGTTGTGATGAAACTCTTACACGGTATTGGACGGTAACTTTTACCTTCTTGTGACATTTGAAAGCACTAGCTGTTCATAACAAACTACTGCACCGATTTACTTTGTAGCATTTATTGATGTAAGTTAGTCACAGAGTCGAGCGGGAGGCCCGTATGAAATATGTGTGATTAAGAATCTGACAAACAGTTAAGTGAGGTGTAACTGCCGGCCAGAGCCAACGTTAAGTTTAAACTTGAAAGGTAAGTGTTACCGACAGCCGGTATGATTATAATCTTCTGTAGTTCATCATCTGAATGAAATCGCATGATAACCAAGTATTGCAGTGAAGAAAGCAGTCTTCTGGGATTTGGCACCGTGTATGTGTGGTGTTAACCGACGTTTCGGAGGAACGTATCGCCTCCATCTTCAGGGTAGAAGAAAAAATATAAGAAATCTGCAAGCGAAGAGACCGTGAGAACCGCCGTGAAAGCCTAAAATCTTACAAGTATTGCAGTGACTATATGAACCAGGTGTGTAAGGTAGCAGGGTTGGGTGAGAACGGAGAATTTATGGTAGGGTATTTGCCTGGGCGCTAAGAGGTGTTTCTCTGAATACGAAGTTTTATCAAATCCTGCCTTGCTTCTGGTGTGTTGTGGGTACTCATTTCGTCAGTAGAACAATGGGCTTAACCTCACAACGTGTGTTGACTGGCAGAAAATCAGGAGCGGGAGACAATTGAAATACGAATATACGTAATGTACCCATGCTTTATTGTTTTCTATCTCAGGCTAATATATTAATTTTCTTAATACAAATCGAAATTCGAATTGTTAACCAGGAGGTATATATTGATATGAATTGCAAATTTTATGCTTCTAAATATACAGTAATTGTCTCGAGGGCTTGAATAATGTCCCACCCACCCTTCCACGTTCCGTCGATGACTTAACCCCGCACTCACTGAGCTTCCTTCCCACTTACTGCAGAAAAACCGACAGACCCAGAACTTTTTTCCCTTCATTACTTTTTTTTTTAATTCGCCTAGTGGGGGGTGGAGTCCAACTGGGTCCACTTGGCACCGCGGCCACTGATTGGCATGTTGTAGCCTCCCCCGGCTGATTATGATGATGGAGAATTTGGTGGAATAAAGATTGGCAGGGGAAACCGAAGTACTCGGAGAAAACCCGCCCCAGCTCCACTTTGTCCACCACAAATCCCACTTGACCAGACCCGGGTTTGAACCCTGGCCGCGGCGGTGGGAAGCCAGCGACTAACCGCTTGAGATATGGCGCGGCCGTCCCTCATTACTTACTTTAGTCTGATATGAAATATATAAAACCCCTTCAGTCAAATAAAAACTGCTTCCGAATTGGTTAGACACACACACACACACACACACACACGGTGGATACGCGAACCACTTGTATTCCAATCACTGCGGACCTCCAGTTGTTAATTCTAAATAGCAAATATGACCTCCAAGGCCACATCCGTACACCAGATGTATTTCGTACACCTGCAGAGTATTTGCACCTGCTTACAATAGCAGTAAGTTTAGGGTTCCTTAATCCAAATAACAGCCATTTAGAATTTCGGAAGGCATCGTTAAGTTTATCCTGCACCAGATGTTTTCTAACAAGGCCTTCCTCCGTGCTGATCCCTCTGTCACAACAGCTCAGACCCTTTCTGAACCTGCTACGTGCCTGAAGAATGTTAAGCGTTTTTAGGGGTAACTGAACAGGTGTTTGCCTAGCATTTAGAAAATTAATTAAAATATAAATTAAACTATGTGTTGCATACGGATTGAACTGGCATATAATATATAAATAAGGATACGGATATTCATATTATTGAAATGTTTCAAATTAAAACTGCCCTTAATTCGATTAATATTTTATGTGGTGTTTGAGATTCTCAAAGCGGTGATTATGAAAAGTTCTGGGATCCCAGGATCCGGTGAAAGTCAGCTGACATTTCGGAGGAACAATCGCCTCCATCTTCACAGTCGATAAATAAGCCAACCAAGAAACGAGCACGAAGCTGGTTCCTCGGATACGTGTAATTTGCTCTTTTGTTGCGCCTCTCGTCATCTGCCGACAGTACTTTGTTTCTGCACTCACTGCGGAATGCGAAGGCCCCAGTAGCGCGTGGCCAGTGACGTATTACTGTCCCGGCAGCCGCCGCGTAGCTGTGGAACATTTTAGTGACGACAGTCAGCACCAGTGATCAATCAAGGGACTTCTGAATTCGACGCCAACATATTTTCAGCATAGCTAGCTAACAACATATTGGCCATGTCCGGAGTTCTGTAAACAAGACTAATGCATTTTATCATATGCCTCTTAAAAGGCGAATCCTAATTTGAATTATGTGAACAATTATATATATATTCTATATAAATTTCCTCTGACGTTGCAAATTTTCATGTTACTGCTCTTAAATAATTAACCACGACGTCATCAAGGCGTATGGAGGAGTGGTTGTATAGATTCGCGTATTTCTAACCTCGGAACTAGTTGGAAGTGAATGATTAACTTCACGCCCTGACCGCTTTGCCGTCGGGGAAAGCTCCCTCGTTATCCCTTTGATAGGAGGCTTTGTGAGCCCCAGAACCGGTCTAGACTACGTAGAGAAGAGAAAAATGTCACCCCTACTGGGACTCGAACTCCAGTCCGTAGCCAGTCGCTATACTTACTACACTGTCCCGGCTCCTTCATTTAACGCAATAAATACAATTTTTTTTAGCAAATTTTGCATTTCCGGATTAATACATTCCTAAGACGACTGAAAGAAAGTAACACTATAAATACTCGTGAAATATTAGAACTTTAAATACTCGTACTTCTAAATCAGAAGTTCTCATGAAATTTCTCATGAAATTTAAGAACAGAATGAAATACTGGCGAGGTCAGTTTAAAGAACCTAAGTGTAGTTATCTGGTTCTGTTTTTCAGTCTTAACCGAATGCTCTGTTGTTATTCTGGTCCTGTTTTCAGTTTTACCGAATGCTCTGTTGTTATTCTGGTCCTGTTTTCAGTCTTACCGAATGCTCCGTTGTTGTTCTGGTTCTGTTTTCAGTCCTAACCGAATGCTCCGTTGTTCTGGTTCTGTTTTTAGTCTAACCGACTGCACCGTTGTTGTTAAGCTATTGTTGTGTAACTGGTACTGTAGCAGTACATGCCTGCAAATGCGAACTGTATGAAGTATCCATGTTATCTCGAAGTACCTGATACGGTTGGACCAAAAACAGGTCAGAGAAGCTCAACACAGGTTTCAGCGTGAACAATATCGTATTAACAATTTCGGGTGTCTGCATTTTTGTTTCCTCGGTATAATACCAGTTGTTTATTTCCTTGTGCTGTGTAATGGACTTCAGTGCCCACATCTGCATACAGCATACTCGCAAATTTTTTAAGCGAATCCTGGCTGAGGATTATTCTATAGTGAAAATACCATGCCCAACCGCCAACCTGGAGGACCAGGGTATCCCTCTTCGTCTGGCTCCTATTCCTTGACCTGTCCGGCATGGGTGATCCTACCAGTACCTGCGCTACCGCCGGCATAGCTCCCAAACCCCACCACGACGATAAGATGGAGACAGCATCGGTGGGGAACGATACATAATACAGTGAGAAAATGTTTCGTTTTAAATTTTGTGTTTACACAGAATATGAAAGTAACAACCTAGATGCAGGAAAACCGACAACATATGCTATACCGCCATGCCTCCTATGATTCATTAGAACAAAGGTATCTTAATAAGATTTGAGGTTTTCACGGCGGCGACTATGAAGAAAACAGTTTTCGGGGATTTGGCGCCGTGTAGACTAATTAGTCTGTTAGCACCTACTCACGCCGGTTCCTCGCTCGCGGATTTTCTTCTTTCTGCCCTGAATATGGAGGCGATACATTCCTCCGAAACGTCGGTTAACACAATATCTACACGGCGCCACGTTCCAGAAGACTGCTTTCTTCAAAGGTATCTTCATTTATATATTTTTTTGCACTTGTATGGAGAACGCCCCACGCCACAATCCTTCCTGTGTCTTGATAACGACGCGATCTGGTGGTAAAATTTTTTCCAACACACAGCTGAAGGTGAGAAGAACGTGCGTCATGGGTCAGTCCAGTTTAAACTTCAGTTATCAGTGTTCAACGATTGTGTGTGCACAGTCACTATGACCGGATTTCACAAGGATAATTGATTTTACGCGTACTGCAGATGGGCATGTTTTATGCGGGAAATAATTCTGACACCGTCATGGGGGTTTCACAGGAACACGGCGGGAAAGCACAGTGTGTAAGACCTTAGGGTAATCTGTTGGACATTCAGTCTGCTAGCAAGACATCCTAAATTTCAGATTATAGTGCCCTTGCTTATGCTACCATGCAGTATAGTGGGCGGTTACAGACGTTTCGGAGGAACATGCTGCCTTTGTCTTTAAGACTTGAAGTTCGTACTGTGAAGAATGAGTTTCGTTATGTGTACAGACATATTACAAAGAAGATGATCAATCAAACCCATGGGAGGGATGATGAACCTGGATCCAGTCTGGGGCACTATAACTGTGATCAGGAAAGAACTCCTCTCAGGGTCCCTATGTGTTAAAACGTAATGAGTTTCCATAAATTAATTTTATTCCTGCTCATTTTGACAGAAATTTTTGAAAGTGGAACCAGAACCTGTAATTGGTTAAATCTCTTGGCGAAACTAGGCCTTCACCAATTGCCGATCAGTTTACAGCTGCTGAAGCCGGGTATCGAACACTGACTGTTCAGACCATTGCCGTTCACCTCACTGAATTAATTTGGCTGGCGTGTCCGTCTGTAACTCGATATTTGTGAATATAAGGCTCGTCTGCAACAAGCTGGTGTTTTTATGCGGCACGCTCAATTATATGCAGTGGCAGACAGTTGACAGTAATGAGGATGAATTATGTATGTAGGACCTCGCCAAGCATTTCCTGCTGCCGGTGGTATCCAACAGGTGGTGAAACAGGGCTGTCCAACCTGTCCAATGAATGAGATTCCTTCTTCGTTTCAGCTGCTGAAAGCCAGTAGCAATATATTCCGGTTCAAATCACAGCCATATGTCGAGCGGTAGATTTGAAATGGTTCTGACAATGGTGTATAATACTCAGAATCACTGGGTTTTTGGACTTTGTCCATCGTCCGGTATTATAGAAACTAGAAAATACAACGTTCCAGAAACTGGATCATTTTCCGTCCTCAGGCGAGGGAGGGAGGACACCTATTCTGAT